ATGGTTGGGGCTGGCGCAGTCTTCCTGTGTGAAGCGCCAGACCCCTTCACACCATGGAATGATGATGATGATGTATGTTTGGGGCTGCATTGCAATATTGATTGTTCGGATCATTGGTATCTAAGTCTTCCGCTGTGCTATTTTATACTTTGTATTGAAAGGTCGGTTCTTGTTCTGGTCTGCACCTATACGGTATGCAACAGTGCCACTTCAGCAGCAGACGGGTGTGTGGGCACTTCCCGCTCAACCACACAAACGTGGGGAACCTTGCACCTTCTTCTTTTTTTTCTTTTCTTAATAAATCAAAACAGGTCCTTATGGTCCTGGCTCCTTTCCATTCTAGGGAGCGTCAGTCTGGTTCCTATTCCCCCGGCAAGTCAAAAGGAATAACATAGAGTACACGCATACACTTCCTTCCGTATGGCCGATGGATCCCTGACCAGCATTGATTACTCCCCTGTAGGAGGATTGACTGTCAGCTTGCTCTCTCGTCTCGTTCCTCTCAGGCTGCTGTATAGACCTGCCAGATATTCCTCTACATAACTAGAAAAGTGAGAGGGGTCGCTGGCATCTGTACACGATTGGTTTCTCACACCCTGTTTATCGCCCTACTTGTTCCTGTGTTTGTCATACTGATCTTCGGTCCTGGGCTCCATGGTTTGGTTGACGCCTTTCGGTTACCCTTGATACCATTTCTTCCATATCAGTCTGTTGTCTGTTATGGTGGCCACCTTGCCCTTTATCAGCCAGTCGTTTAGGAATGCTCGTCTCTTAGCTGCATGCTTATCTGGTCTGTGTTTCGCTGATGAGGATATCGTCCGCCATCTGCTCCGGATTTCGGTCTCCACCATGTGTATCAAAAGAGTCCACATTTCTTCCTTTGCCTCCTCTGCTCCCTCAATTGTCTCTGTGCATCTTCGTTTCCATATGATCCAGAGAGTTAGCTTTCTGAGTAGTTGGAACCAGACTTCCCTGCTGCCCTTGATGTACCCGGGAGTGTTAGGAAGGAGTAGAATGTTTAAGGGGGAAGTGTTGGGGGGTTGGCCTGAGAAGAGGTTAGACCATAGCTTCTGAACTTTGTTCCAGAACCAGGTCACTTCGGGACAGAAGAGTAGGCAGTGTGGGATGTCTTCAGGCTTGTTTTTGCTGCACATCGCGGATTTCAGAGCTGTTTGGGTGTGAGTGTTTCCTTCTTTTGTGAAGCCATTGGTTGACTGGGAGGGCTGTGTGTGCAACGAGCCATTGCATATTTCGGATTCTAACCAGTCTGATAAGAAGGTATTTGGCCCAGGGGATGGAGAATTGGATCAGCGGGTGCAGATTCATGATGGTCCTCCATTTCTCTACTAACCTTGGATTTGTATCTGTGGTCTGCAGTCCAAGGTCGTAGCCGGATTTTACGTCGTATTGGGAAATTGTTCTCAACTTCCCTGTGGTGCCCTGTTTCCACATCCATTCCTTGGGGTCAGATTCCAGGTCTTTGATACGAAGTTCTGGCTGGAATATGACCCATGTTCTGTTCTGGGAGACTCGGACCTTCCTGAGGAGAAGGTTTCCAGTCGCATGGCCTGGGGGTCCTCGTTTTGGATGATGAGCTCCTGAAGGGTATGGTTGGCGATAGGGTAGGATAAGAAGTTGGATTGGTAGTTTGAAGACTCTGATCTAGATACGAAGCGGTAGGCTCTCTCAGGTGGAGTGTGTGAAATAAGTTTGTAAGTGAATGTTTCTCTGAGGAGCGTTAACCACTGGGCAGGAATGCTATGATGTATCCCTGCTAAGTTGGTATCAAGAGAGTGGAACTCCGTGAGGGAGGTTCGGAGTTCCTGGGCCATCAGCCAGTCCTTCCGTTGTCGGAGGCCGACGCGCCGCGTCAATGGAAGTTGACTCGACGCGGTCAGCCTCCACGCCGTGTCAAATCTGCGCCAAGGGCTGTCCGCGGTCATAGTCAACTAGGTCCTAACGCATCGGTTAAATTCCCTAGGGCCGAAGCGACAGAAAAGACTGTGCGGCGGTACAGTCCTCGGGAGACCTGACGGCCCCCTTTGGACTGGACCGTCGTGACCGCAAGGGGCAAATTAGTGGGGCCCGGCCCAAACGACACTTGAAATGGACCAAGGGTTGGTGAGATAATTAAGTTTGACTGGTTGGGACCAGACCAACGCGACTGCGTAACTCGGTCGGAAGAGGAACAGCCCCAGACGGCCACATAAATGAATGGCTAGGTCCTAGAAATAATTAAGATAGGGTCACGTGCAATTTTAGGCGCAGGACTGACTCTTCATTTCCCAAAGTCGGGCCTTTTTTTTTTTTTTTTTTTTTTTTCAACACCCCCTGCAGTGCTAGTGCTCCCCCAGTCCCGTGCTAAAATTAGCACAGTCCCACGCTATTTTTAGCGTGGGACTGACTGTTAGTCTACTTGGGACTGGGCCTGTCCGAGCCCCGTGCTAAACTTAGCACAGTCCCACGCATGGTAACCGTCCGGACGTCCGGACTGGGTTCCAGACAGTCGGGTGTCTGGTGTCCGGTGTCTGGTGTCTGGTCCTGATGTCCGGATGGAGGCCCCTGAGGAGAAAATCAACAAAAAAAAGGGGGCGGCCCAGGACGTTTATCGGGTCCTGGCCGCCCCTCGAAAAATAACGGGGTGATTTTTCAGTGTCTTTTCACCCCACCGGACAGGGCCTAGAGGTCCGGACACAAGACACTGCAGGTTTCTGGGGTGGCGGGTTTCACACAGGCCCGAGCAATTTGAAGGCGCC